CAAATCATTTGTCCCGATATAATAAATTATAGAATATCGACAATCAATATGATGATAATGAACAGATCAATTAATTTATGTTCATCAAATGACCATATCATTGGAAAAAGCAATTTGATATGGTATATCAAATTGATATACTATATGATGTTTACAAAAGTAAAACAGTTTATCTAATTTAACTTATCTTAGAGGAATAACTTCTTTCTATTTTGAGTAAAATCCATTACGACTACTATAAAATCCATTAACAATATCAACTCCCCAACAATCCAACGATCAAATTTTCATAGTGGTGAGTAGATAACTTAGGGATTGACGTGGAATTGAATTATAAACTTGGCATTGATGATGCTTTCTAGAAAAATAATGCAAACTTTAATCATGGACGGCTAAAAATAGTTAAATCTCTTGATTTTAATTTTATTTTATGACCTAATAGGTAGGCCTTACTTAATTAGACCTTCATGCACCTTATGGGTTCATATTTTTAAGATGGAGGAGCCACATGTGGTTAAAAGAGGAATGGTATAGGATATCATTGATAAGAATAAAAGATAACACTCTCTTTATATATGAGTATCAAAAAATAAATCATTGAGACTTCTTCCTTGAGTTTAATATTTTATAGTATTTTGATGCTAATTGTCATTAATTTCTTCTTGATTTAGGTTTCGTTTGGGACGGCTTTTTTATTGCTTTTTAAAACGGAGTTGTAGTACAAATTTTTTTATTTTTGTACTAAAACTCCGTTTTCAAAAGCAATAAAAAAGCCGTCCCAAACGAAGCCTTAATGTATTTACAACCAGGTTTTGAGTTTAAGGTGTTTAAATTTTAGGCAATCAAAGTAAATAGGCAATAAAACTTATATATTTGAATTATAATTGTGTCTAGACCCTCTTTTATATTTGATAATTCTTTGGCTAATTTTGCGAAAGCGCCTTTTTTGACTATATGAGTCCTAGCAGATGGATTTATTTTAATAAAAGAAGTAACATCAAAATATGATTCTCACTCTTGATTTTCAATTGCTAATATTTGCTCATGAAATGTATTGTCATTAAGAGGAGAATCGACAACAATTTGATGCACTATTAGAAAATTAATCTCTATATATATAGTCAAATTATAATAGAATTATGTTCCCATTTGGCCAATTAAGCTACCAAAAGTTAGTTTGATCATTAGGTATTATAATATATTAATTCGAGAAATAAAAATAATCTTATGACTTATGAGATATCTTCTAATATATTAATTTTTAAACCATAAAAATCATAGCTAAATAATATATTTTTTTAAAATTAGAATACACTTCTTCCCAACTTGTATAAACTATGATTGAGATAATATAGAGTATTTTTTTTCATCTTAATTAACTTGAGTTGGAAGTGCTCCCACAAAATCAATGGAAATAATGTATAGAATCAATAGATCCTTTAGAATTGGCGACACTATTAATTGATTTTATTAAAGGTTTTATAACAAGCCTTGTTGCAATGGAAAGAAACAACTTTATTCATTAAAGCAATGAAAGGATCCTCTTTATTGCTTTGAAATAAAATTCCTAAAAGGATTGATCCCATTGATTTCTATAGTAAATAATAAATCCTAGAAATTTGATAAAAAAAACTTGAAAAACATATTTGAGTAGTTTCATTTTAAAATCATATTTTCCCAACATTTAATTATAACAATTAAGTTGATTGCAATGTCATCATTTTTCGTCTTGACAATAGTTTCATTACAGTACCACTTTACCTGGTAGTGTAGAAGATCATTAAAGATTTAAGTCACCACATACTGATATGTAGCACCATTACTTTTTATCTAAAATACATAACTTAGTAAAATTCTAGGTGCTAGGATTTGCTGTAATGAAGGGCATAGACGCGGGTGTTGTTGTAATTGCATCAACATTGGCATCGATGATAGACAACAGTCTGATTGATAATGATAGAAATTGATAATGATGTTCATAGTGGATGTCAGCCTTGTGGCAATGACAGGTGTAGATTGTTGGTGCCAAATGTGGGCATTAACCTTATTGACAATGATGTGCATCGATATTATTGTATTAGTGTTGATGATATGCATCAATCTTATTGGCGATATGAGACATTCATGATAGTGTTAACAGTGGACATATATGTTATTGGCAATGGTAGGTGTCGAGGACTAGTAAGCAAAGCTCTGAATTCTCTCTTACTTGAATCATTTTTTATGGCCTCATCTCGGCCTCCCTCTATAGAAAGATGTTGGGTCAATTTATAAATGCATAGAGATGGAGATTTTGGTTATTTTGACCAACAATTAGAATAATTCATTCGACAATCTATGTTGACCTCTTGATTCTATAAAGCTCTTTAAGTTTCATGCTAGTACATTCACATATATAGATAAATAAATTGAGAATGACTCATATGAGATATGAGATTTCTTACGTGAAAAATCTTGAAGATGAGGGAGCCTAACCTAGTTAAAATGTTTCACTTATGAGTCATATATTATAAATGATGTTATTTCTCATAACTTGATAAGATTCCTTGTAATTAAAATGAAAAATGGATAATGAATTTCATGGTTGAAATATGAAGGGCGTTGACTTTGAAATTATTATCAACAAATTATTTGTGTTTTACTCGATCTTTCTCTTGATAAGAGGAGTGGCCAACAGCCAAGAAGGCCAATTTTGACTCCATTATTGATGATGGGCATCAGTGTTGGTATCGATATAGATCGTTGATGTTTATGTCAACTATAAGAATCAACATTGGAGTTGATAATGAGTATTAGTGTTTGTGTTGGCAAGAAACATCAACTTATCGACACAAGTGGGCATCAATGTTCGTGCAATGATGAACATCAACCTTATTGATGAGGACAAATGTCGACCTTATTAGCAGTGATGGAGAGTGAGGTTGGTGTCAACGGTAGGTATCGATGTGGGTGTTAATATCATTCATTGATGATTGGCGTCGGTCCTATTAGTGAAAGGAGCATTGACATTAGTGTTAATGATGAGTGTTTGCCTTGTTGCAGACTGATAGATGTAACTCTATATATTGAATTCTTTTTATGACCTCATCCCAATCTCTCGATGTATAGAAGGTGTCCGTGTCTATATATAAATTTTTAGAAATAGACATTCTAGTCATTTTGATTAGAAAATTGAACACTTAATCAGTAATTCATGTTTATCCACTTGATCATATAATAGTATTTAGGTACATTAATATACTAATGATGTTCATTTTGATTCAGAGTTTAAGTAGCCATAAGTCGATCAACAAAATTTTAATTCAAATAATCAATCCTTCTGAGATTTAAGAACCACATCAAGATCATGGTTTATCTGATGAAATTTTTTTGATATATTGAAAAAAATATTTTAAACAACTTTCTCTTGTAAAAAATTATGAAATTAATCAAATAAATTATCCAAAATTATGAAATAATAAAATTCTAATGATTGATCAAATTTAATTTTGTGCTCATCACCTTTAACAATTTTGATAAATCAAATACATCAATTTATAATAAAATTCTAAAGACATAATTATCTTAAACCTTAATTCTTCACTTGAGTTCTTCCTTAATTATCCATTTTAGCTCATCCTTCAAGTGACTAATCCTCAAAGAGCCTTGACGCAGGAGCTAACGTTGTTAAGATGTGAATGTGGTGTAGCTTAGAATGTGTAGCCTTTTATCCGGCCTGATGGATTAGTTCTCTTTAAATAGCTTGGATTGTAAGAAAATAAACAGTGAACATTTTGAAGGAATTCAGACTCAGCACTGTTTCATTTCCCAGTCTTCTTTTCCCGCCCATTTGCTTCTTGTTATCTATTGTGCAAGTACGAAGCTCGGGAAGATAGCAGATGCCCGTGCGTTTGCTCTGAAGCGGCCGGTGATCACCCCTTGAGACGACAGAGGCGGTGTCAAGCCTAATCACTTTCTAATTTGTCATAATTGCAAAGAAAATGAATAGTTTGAAATGAAATACTTACACATCAAAGTTTAGGGTAGTTGGTGGACGAACACGATTGGGAACTCCATCCCAGGTTCGTATCCCTTATACTACGACATCACATCTTCAATGAGGCAAAACAAGTGTGGGCCCGATGCCGGTGGACGGCCTTGTTAGGTTCCACCGAGGGATTAGTTAAGCCGCCAAGTGCTCCATTTGGAATGACAGCAGCTAGATATCCCGCTAAAAAAAAAAAACTTAATAAATAATTAAATAACATAAGCACACAATTAATTAGTATCAAATAAATTATTAATTAAGGATCGACATTTAATGCCCCACCTTTGACCCAATATTTTTAATTTTATATAAGGACATATTAAATATAATATATCTTAATCATATGTGAGATATTCTACTCAAATATGAGATTTTTAATTAATTAAATGGATATAATTTTTTGCTTAATAAAATATTTTTATTCAAAAGTGATAACTAATAAAAAATCATAATTTAATAAATTTATAAGAAATTAATTATTATATTTTAAATTTGCCTATCAAAGTGACATAAACAGTTGAATTTACATTATTAGCATTAAATACTGTTCTTCTCTGATCTCACTAATCACATTTATAATCATAATTCAATCACAGCACCTTACCGTCGGCTGCTCCACAGCTCTCTCATTCTGACTAGGGGAAGCTTCGGCAAGCTGGGTACTCCCCACCTGGCAATCCGCACGGCGCGCTAAGCCCCATATCGCCTCTACACAGCTCCATCAGACCACGAACTCTCGTGTAATTAATTTGAAAGCAGCATCCAATGTGGCACTATTTGTAAATTCGCCAAAAGACATGGGCGTTACCGTTCCACTTTCTCATTAAATCATGTTCCCTCTCTCTTAAATGAGCGAGAAAGGGGCAGGTGTGAGATGAAGAGAACTGGAAAAAGCTTATTTTCTTTATTTTATCTCATTTTGTTATCTTGATTGATCGGAAACAAATCAAGCAGAAGGCGGAAACGCCGGAAAGGGATACTTCTGCAAATGCCTGAGGCGGCGGCGGCGATGGCGCAGGATTACCTGCAGGTTGTGGTAAACTTCCTGTGGCATCCGAATGAGTCCTCGTATCAGCATGTTTGGCCGGTAAGAAAATGAGAGAAATGGTAAAAATTGCATTTTTGAGTATGGTTTAGGAGTTTCTGTTTTATAAAATGCTGAAAAAAAGGATTTTTTTTGTGTTTTGTGATGGGAAGCCGATAGAATTTGGATGGAGGATTATCGTGGGGTCGTTGATTGGATTCTTTGGAGCTGCTTTTGGAAGTGTGGGAGGAGTGGGTGGTGGTGGGATTTTCGTTCCTATGCTTACTCTTATTATCGGATTCGATCCCAAATCTTCCACTGCCATTTCAAAATGTGAGAAAGTTTGTCCCTGTTAAATTTTGCTCTCTAGTTTTGAAAAAAAGATTGAATCATGATTTCAAATTAGTTTCCTAGTATTTGTTTTACAATTATGTAAATGGAAGATCCTGCTGAGTAGAGCTGAAAGATCTTGCTTCACCGTTGCATTGATCGAAAACATTAATGCCACTTTAATCGATAAAAAATGAAACTTTTCTTGATAGCCAATCAAAATACAAAATCAGTAACTCATCAGGGACTTTAAAATTTCTCTAATTCACTAGCTTTGTTTCTTCTACATAGAAAAAAATCTCAGAAACGATCAATTACTTTTATTCTTCTTCCACACATATATATTGAAGTTCAAGTGCTGATATCTGAGATCTGTTTGGCCAGTTATGATCATGGGAGCAGCAGGATCAACTGTTTACTATAACCTCAAGCTTCGTCATCCGACCATCGATATGCCTATCATCGACTATGATTTGGCTTTGCTGTTCCAACCAATGCTTATGCTTGGAATCAGTATTGGAGTTGCCTTCAATGTTCTCTTTGCTGATTGGATGGTGACTGTTCTCCTTATTATCTTGTTTATAGGTAAGCCTACAGCTTAGAACTGACAAATTGAACTTAATTAATGAATTTCCAAGAATTCAGCGTTGTTCTGTTGCAGGAACATCAACCAAGGCTTTCATGAAAGGCGTTGAAACTTGGAAGAAGGAGACGATAATGAAGAAGGTTTGATTGCTTTTCAAACTCAAGCTTGCTCTTTTGGCTTCTAAATTACAAACAAACAAGAAGCTAATTTTCATTTGTCTCTAAATTCTATTCCAGGAAGCTGCCAAACAAGCTAATGCAACTGGTAATTCAAGGAACTGTTAGTATCTTCTTTTGATGGAAGAATCTTGTTCAACATAGTTGTTTATGTTTTGATTATAATTCTGTAGGGAATGAAGAAACAGATTACAAGCCACTGCCTGCAGGACCAGGCGGCGGCACTGCTACCAAGTTGCTCATTAAGGAGGCTAGAAAAGAAGAGGTGATTCCAGAAAGATGAGAATTGCTATGATGTACATTTTGTAACGGCTGCCTTAATATGAATATTTACTTCAGGTTTCAGTCATAGAGAATGTTTGCTGGAAGGAACTTGGCCTTCTAGTTGTTGTTTGGGCTACATTCCTTGTGCTTCAAGTTTCAAAGGTATGCCTTTGTTTGGATTGAGAGCAGGTGAAGGAAATAGGGTGAAATTCCAATAATTTATGAGTTTATTACGAATAAGTGCAATGATTTCTTAAGCGTTTCAAACTTTTTTTTTCATTGTCTTTTGCTCAAAACACTTAGCTTTCAAACACATCATATATGTTAATTGAACCTGGTAATTGCTTTTTGTCTGTAAATTTATTGTGCAGGAATACACTCTAACCTGCTCAAAGTGGTACTGGCTCTTGAATTTGCTACAGGTGCTGTGCCAATGTCCACTTCTATTGGATTCGAGGATTAATCAATTTTAGTGTTTTTTTAATAGAGGAATCAAAATATTAATGCAGATCCCAGTATCTGGAGGGGTAACTTTGTATGTTGCCATTGGCTTATACAAAGGAAAGAGAGTAATTGCATCAAAAGGAGCCGAAGGAGCAGAATGGAAAGCCATTAAGCTCTTCATGTACTGCTTAGTTGGTATTCTCGCTGGTGTCGTTGGTGGACTTCTTGGTCTTGGTGGAGGGTTCATTCTAGGTCCTCTCTTCCTAGAACTTGGAATACCTCCTCAGGTCTGCTTGTATTCTTGTTCCCATGTAATTTTATATTAAATATAATATAGGTAAGCTTCTGGTTTAAAAGAGTGACCAACGGTATATCAGGTCCAACTTAGATCATCTTTTAGCTCACTTTCCCCAGCACTTCACAGCCATAATAGGCACAATTGCAACTTAGGTTTCGTTCGGGACGACTTTCTTTCTACAAAGCTGCGTTAAGAAGCAATAAAAAAGCCGTCTCAAACGAAACCTTAGTTGAGAGTAATCTTCTTCGCATGCAACTCCTTTGCATCTTAAAATTGCTTTTGAGAATTGAAAACTTCTGCAGGTCTCAAGTGCTACAGCGACCTTTGCAATGACATTCTCCTCTTCTATGTCTGTTGTAGAGTACTATCTCCTCAAGAGATTTCCAGTTCCATATGGTATTATAATCTAATAAACTTCTAGTTTATCATCATAAAACAAGAACAACATAACCAAAACCAAGGGTCTGCTTGGTGTAGTTTTGGTTCCTCTTGCATATCTACTTATCTGACTCCCTCTTTATTCTGGCAGCCCTTTACTTTGCAGCCGTGGCTACAATGGCTGCCTTAATTGGCCAGCATTTGGTGAGGAAGCTCATCAACATACTGGGAAGGGCTTCTCTTATTATCTTCATTCTGGCTTTCACCATCTTTGTTAGTGCAGTCTCACTGGGTAATGACTCAAAGCTTTTATTCATTCTAATGGAAACTACAGTATTGTTTCTTCACTGTAAAATTTGCTCTTTTTTTATCAGTTTGACTCGTCACACATTGTCTTATGAGGTTCTACTTGCTTTGCAGGTGGGGTTGGCATTTCAAATATGATCCAAAAGATTCATAACAGTGAATATATGGGATTTGATAACCTCTGCATGTATGACCCTTAGAAGCAAAGTTTTTTTAACACTAATTCATGATATTATTAGGGCTAGTGGCCTTGTTTTTAATTTGTTCTTAGTTTTTTTTTTTGTTCCTTTTTTCTGTATCAATTTTGCATTTGATAGTTCAATAAAGCCTTTTTCATTCTATTGATGCAGTCTAAACTCTCTAGTAGGATAGGATTGTAGTATAAGGTTTCGTTTGGGATGGCTTTCTTACTGCTTCTTAAAGCAGCTTTCTAATACAAAAATTAAAATTTTTGTACTTTAAGAAGCAGAAAGAAAGCCGTTCCAAATGAAGCATAAGTTTAGTTTTTGGGATTCTTTTTGCTTAAGAAAATGAGGAAAACTTCTTTTGATTTAGGTTTTAAATCAATTCACCATTGTAAGTGTCAAGATTCACATGAAAGTGCTTATCTATCTCACATCACATGAAAAATAAGCTTTGAAATCCTATTATTGAGCTTAAATTTTTCCCCCAATATTTTATTCTTGTAAAATAATTGTTGGACTTTGTAATCTAAATTCTATTAGATTTGAGCCCAAGTAGTAGTGGTGTTTCATGTGTGGTGCAATTTTAAGTATGAGATTTTATATTTTTATTAACTAGTTTTTGATATTATTATTATAGGATTAAGTGCTTTATATGATATATAACTTACATTAATTTTGGTGGCTTATGTCATGATTAAGACTTCATTTAAGACAATTTTCTTAGTGCTTTCTAAAGCAGCTTTTTAGTAACCAATAAAAAAGTCGTCCCAAACGAAACCTAAGATTAATGCGAAAGACTCCCATGTGAAAGAGACTATTGGGTTTTAGACTAGTAAATAATAGGCAAAGAATTGACTTATTATCTTGACCATTAACTTAAATTTCAAGGCTTTTGTTTTTTTTTTTTTTTTTTTTTTTTTTGCTAAAATTTTTTGGGCTTATCAACCTTTTTACCCTAGTTGTTTCCTTATGATTAAATTATAATAAGAATTTGATGTGCTCAAATGTGTATTGCATTGGTAGGAAATTATTTTGAAAATTTTGATGGGATGGGTTCAATTATATATATCAATAAATGACTCGACCGACTTAAATCTAACTAAAAAAAATTGGATTTGAATTGACCAGCTCAGTAAATGGGTCGGGTTGATGTCTTGAACTTGACCTCGTTTAATAGGTGAGTAGAGTTCAGGTTGATCTGTGAACTTGATTTTGATCAATTTAAAATGTTTATTTGTTGGTATGCTCTTCTTATTCTTGATCAATTAATCTAAACTCTATAGTTGACAAGTTATACATTTTTTTATTTAAAATTCAAATGGGTTATTGAGTAGAGTTTTGATAATTGGGTTGTGCGGGTTGGATTTGAGTCCACATTTTTAATTGGTTTCAAATCGGGTTAATTTTGGGTTGAATCTAAGCTTGATCCGTTAACCTATTTTGAAAGCGTTAGGTTTGAATGCCCCAAAAAATAAAATAAAATAAAACATCAAAGATGACATCATCCAAGGTACAATCAATAGATTAATTGCATCGTATAAAAGATAAAAATATACAATTTGTTGAGAAATGTCATTCGTTGAAGCTTAAAAAATATTTATTGACTTTAGCAATGATAGGGGAGTTTAGTTCCTTGAAGATAAAAAAAAAAAAATTAAAAACAATAAATTTATTAAATTTCATATGCTAAAAATCAATGGAAATTTTAATTTTTAAAAATAAACCCCTTCAAAATAATTTATATTAAAATTTATTCTCACATTCAAATTAAGGATTTGTTCATGTTTTATATATATGATTGTGAAGTTGTTATTTGGAATGAGTTTTTTTTTTAAATTAATATGAATATAATAAAGTTGTTTTTTTAATATAGAATAGTTGATTTCTTAGAACTAAATAAGAAAGAAACATTCAAACAAAATTATAATAGCGGTTTGAAAAACATCTTAGAAGCAGAGCCCTACACAGGGTCCTGGTCGAGTACCCATTGGGTACCCATGCTCTGTGCGAGCTGGCTTTGCCCACCCACCCCCACTCATAATATTTTTCAGGATGAAGTACCCACCCATACCCATGCATTGCTTGACCTTAGACGTAAAAGAAATCCTGTAAAGAATTGAAAGGTAGAAGGCAATAACATAATAAATGTATTTTCATATTTCCCAAATGCCTGTAATACAAAATAAATGGTTTTATATAATGATGCAGGGGACAAGTTGTTAAAGTACAGCACAATATGTTATATGAAGCTTGCGGTGCATTGGACTAACGTGTTAATAAGCCGCATAAGTCATCATTCTATTGGTAGAACAATTATGCCATCATCATCATCTTCATCAACGACTAAGTTAAGGCCATGGCCGTACTTGATCATGTATGCCTTCAAGTTCTCCTTGGCCTCGTCAATCTGATCAACATTGATGCCCAACCCATGCAAATGCATCTTCATGATCAGGTCGAGCATCATCGTAATGACATGGATGGGCTGGAGCACGAACTTCTCCTCGAAGACTTTTGATTTCACCATACCCACCCATATTGAACACCCACCCATACCCACCCATAACTCTATGAGCATACCCATACCCACCCATACCCATTGGGTATGGGTGGGTAGTTGGGTGGGTTTGGGTATGGGTGCCCAATGCAGGGCTCTGCTTAGAAGCTATCCCAAACAGACCTCAAGTGAGGAATGCAATCATCATTATATAAATCATATTTTTAAATCTACAATCAATCAATTATTATGGATCAAAATTGAGCAAAATGATTGTGCAAATTAAAGGAGTTGGTAGCTTGCTAAGTACTAAATAGAAAAGATTGATACAACTAATCTTAAATAATTGAGATAAAGCTATTGCCTAATTAATGCTGATATTGACAAAGTTGTAGTTAGTGGGTGCTTGTCTTCTATCTATTAGTGTGAAAAATTATTTTAGTCAAAATTGAAATGACAAATGGAAAAGAGAGAAAAGTGATAGGGAGATATATTTTTATTCAAAATAAGAAAACATTAGGTTAACCCATAGAATGTTAACCCATAATATCACTGCAAAATATGAGATGATTATATTCATTGATTTGGAAGAGAGAGAGGGAGACCAAAGAGAAGCTGGTGAAAGATGATGAGAGGATGTTCCTCTCTCTCTCTATAATATAGCAATCATGATGTGTAATACTTATCGAGCACTTAATGATCTCATTTGTTCTGCCGGTTCACTATAGGAAAATCTTTAATTACCATCAGAGCTTTCAATGGAATAAAATATGCAGGTAATAACGGTGAGTGAACCAGCGGCAAATTCGACATTTACATAACGACGATAGTTCCGGCGTAAAAGCCGATGGTTATTTACCGGCGTATGATCCGCTGTTCTTTCCACCGTAATTTATAAGATAAACAGTTTAGTCCGACGTAATTTTCGTCGGTAGTTTCTGGCTTAATTTTCGTCGTAGTTTCTGGCGTACAATACGTTGAAAACTTCGCAGGCCTACCTAATTCAACGAAACTTTACCGTCGAAATATGTGATTATTCGATAGTAAAAATATCCGTCGGCAATACTAATTCAACATTACGCTGGAAATACCGACGGATGTAAAGCTGGAATCCATCCAACAAAGACAACATATTTTCATCATTTTCTTCGTCAGAATTTCGTCGGAACGTATGCCAGAAAAATTTCTAGCCAAAATATTATGCTAGAATTTTTTCACCGACGCGTGAATTACCGTCATTTGCAAATGCTCCAGAATTTTGAGGGGAGAAGGGAATTTCCGTCGAATTTCCCTCATTACCGGCGGATTTCTACCGTCGATAATGAGTCATTTTCCTGAAGTGGTTGAAGAGATTAAGGCTTTGTTTGAGACAACTTACTTACTGTTTTCTAAAGCAACTTTTTAGTACAAACATTCCTAATTCAAAAAAAATTTATATTAGAAAATTACTTCAAAAACAGTAATAAAGCTATCCCAAAGAATACCTAAATCTCCTTTTGAATGAAAATTATGTGCATTATCTGAATTAAATGAGAAAAAGAAAAGTGAGATGAGGGTTGAAGAATAAAATACTGAACTTATACAAAAAAATAGCATAAATCTACTTCTTGATTTTTACTTCCTGTGATGGAATGATTACCCCTTCATGATTGAAGGAGTCATAATACACCTTTACATGACTTAGGATACACTGACACAATTATGCAATAAGAGTTCACAAAATACAATAAAAATCATCTTGATAATAAATCATATAGTTTTAAAGTTATCACAAATGAAATAACTATGTAACTCCCTGAACCTTAATCATTTTAACTTATTTCATGGACCTTGTAATGGGTGTGTGTTGTATATATTGCATCTTACCTATTCAATCAGGGGGAATATCTATTGATTATGTCGTCTTTGATATCCAAATGTGCCGTGCTTATTGTCGAATTGAGCGGCTTAGCGAGACGAATCCAAGAAACCTAAGATTGCTGGATTCTGACAGCATTAAGATACTCAAATACTCCAAAAATGATCTATGATCGAGGGAGTTGATATCAGTCGTCCATTGAAATTTTTACTCACAATATGCTATTGATCTTCTTCCTATTTACTAGTCATGCCACTCTCAAAAATTTATAAAGAGGCATCTCATTCTTCACTGAAGAGCGGGAGAATGAAGGAAGAGAAGAGGACAAAACTAAAGAGCTCTCTTACATTTTTCAACCATTATCGCTGCCAACGGCCACCATTGCTATCACCGACAACCACCACCATCACCGACAATTAACATTAGAAATCACAAACATTTTTAGAATACTTTCAAGATTTGACCCTATTATGGGTACGACATTTGATCATTGTACTTTTCCCTTCTTCAATAGTTAAAGGAGGATTTTTGTATAGCTTATTACATAGTGAATTCTTCAACTGAGTCATGCTCCATGGTTTTGCCCTTTTCGGGATTTCCACGTAAGAAATTATCTAACCTATTATTTGTATTTGTTTGTGCTTAATTTTTGTGCATTGCTAAGACGTAAAATATAATCTCTACCAACTCAAATTTTCTAGCATGCAACAAATACAAAAAGAAAGTTTGTATATATATATATATATATATATATATATATAAACTTTCTTTGTATTTGTTGCATGCTAGAAAATTCG